TTTGTTTTTAAATACAAGCTTTGTGTCACCAGATCTACGTGGTGGCACTGGTCACCGTATCCACTGTTAGCGTAACACACCCGCTTTAAGGACACTGACTGCTATTCAATCTATAACAGTGAAAAAAGATTATTTTTTATTTAAATCCAAACTATTGTGACATCAGATCTAATTAGTGGCACTGGTCAGCGTATCCACTGTTAGCGTAACACACCCGCTTTAAGGACACTGACTGCTATTCAATCTATAACAGTGAAAAAAGTTTTTTGTTTTTAAATCCAAGCTATTGTGACACAGTATCTAATTAGTGGCACTTGTCAGCGTATCCACTGTTAGCGTAACACACCCGCTTTAAGTACACTGACTGCTATTCAATCTATAACAGTGAAAAAAGATTATTTTTTTTTTAAATCCAAACTATTGTGACACCAGATCTAATTAGTGGCACTTTGTCAGCGTATCCACTGTTAGCGTAACACACCCGCTTTAAGGACACTGACTGCTATTCAATCTATAACAGTAAAAAAAGTTTTTTGTTTTTAAATCTAAGCTATTGTGACACAGGATCTAATTAGTGGCACTTGTCAGCGTATCCACTGTTAGCGTAACACACCCGCTTTAAGGACACTGACTGCTATTCAATCTATAACAGTGAAAAAAGATTATTATTTTTTTTAAATCCAAACTATTGTGACACAGGATCTAATTAGTGCACTTGTCAGCGTATCCACTGTTAGCGTAACACACCCGCTTTAAGGACACTGACTGCTATTCAATCTATAACAGTAAAAAGTTTTTTGTTTTTAAATCCAAGCTATTGTGACACCAGATCTAATTAGTGGCACTTGTCAGCGTATCCACTGTTAGCGTAACACACCCGCTTTAAGGACACTGACTGCTATTCAATCTATAACAGTGAAAAAAGATTATTTTTTTTTTAAATCCAAACTATTGTGACACTAGATCTAATTAGTGGCACTTGTCAGCATATCCACTGTTAGCGTAACACACCCGCTTTAAGGACACTGACTGCTATTCAATCTATAACAGTAAAAAAAGTTTTTTGTTTTTAAATCCAAGCTATTGTGACACAGGATCTAATTAGTGGCACTTGTCAGCGTATCCACTGTTAGCGTAACACACCCGCTTTAAGGACACTGACTGCTATTCAATCTATAACAGTAAAAAAGTTTTTTGTTTTTAAATGCAAGCTATTGTGACACCAGTGAGTGGTGGCACTGGGCACCGTATCCACTGTAAGCGTAACACACCCGCTTTAAGGACACTGACTGCTATTCAATCTATAACAGTGAAAAAGTGTTTTGTTTTTTTAAATCCAAGCTATTGTGACACCAGATCTAATTAGTGGCACTGGTCAGCGTATCCACTGTTAGCGTAACACACCCGCTTTAAGGACACTGACCGCTATTCAATCTATAACAGTGAAAAAAGTGTTTTGTTTTTTTAAATCCAAGCTTTGTGTCACCAGATCTAATTGGTGGCACTGGTCACCGTATCCACTGTTAGCGTAACACACCCGCTTTAAGGACACTGACTGCTATTCAATCTATAACAGTAAAAAAAGTTTTTTGTTTTTAAATCCAAGCTATTGTGACACCAGATGTAATTGGTGGCACTGACTGGGGAAATGGGCACAGTATGCACTGTGAGCCTGACACAGAAGCTGGCAGCAGTGGCAGACAACTGACTGCTATTCAATCTATAACAGTGAAAAAAGTTTTTTGTTTTTAAATCCAAGCTATTGTGACACCAGATGTAATTGGTGGCACTGACTGGGGAAATGGGCACTGTGAGCCTGACACAGAAGCTGGCAGCAGTGGCAGACAACTAAGTGCATTTACATTAGATAGAAAAAAAAAATCCAAAAAAAGCATACCCTTATCCCTAACCTAGCTATGCTTTTCCCTATCTTATGAACAGCAGCTACACTTTCCCTCCTCTTACTAAGCATGCAGCTTGAGAATGAATCTAAAATGGATGCTGTCCAGTAGGTGGGAGGGTCTGCTAGGGAGGCTGTGCTGCTAATTGGCTGGAATGTGTCTGCTGACTGTGAGGTACAGGGTCAAAGTTTACTCAATGATGACGAATAGGGGGCGGGTCGAACCGCGCATATGTTCGCACGCCGTGGCGAACGCGAACATGCTATGTTCGCCAGGAACCGTTCGCCGGCGAACCGTTCGGTACATCACTACTTCTGACTTCATAAGTT